CCTCAATTTACATTCTGCAGGAATGAGCAAGCATATTTAATAAAGAGGCAGATTGTAAATCAGTTAGGTAAAGTAGATGTATAGGGAAAGAGGTCAAATGTGAATTATATTATGAGTTCCAATGCTTCAAACAAAGTATTATGCCAAGAATTTGTAGGTGTTTGCCTATATAACACAATCGGTCAATCCCAGAAGGCACAATACAGAGGAGGGCTTATCTGGGAACAAAGTTTTATTAATAGGAAATTATTTATTTTTCTCCCTCTGTCTCGCAATAGTCGATATGGTTTAGGAAAGCGCCTAGGCTTTCTAGATTAATTAATTCTACAGAATCTAATTTATTCAGGCTCAAAATGCTGATAGTTCCTTGAGTAAATGTTTGACTACATTCTATTAAATGTATTTTTTCTGCACTTACATTTGTTTTGTCTTATTCTGTTTCAAGAGCATCAAATGTGTTACTTAATTCTATGGCAGATTGTGAAACACATTAAAGTGTGTTGTCGCTTCATAATCATGTTCCTTAAGTGATGTTATATTGTGGATCTGCTGTGGCGTTTTGATTAAAGTTAATTTTGCCTGTAAACATTTTGTCTGAGTACATAAATGTAAAATTTACTTGTCATACATAAATACGCCATGCGTGCGCAAACACAGAGAAAATATGTGCTATCCTTTTAAAATGCTGATAGCATTTTGTTTGATCCCTTACATAGCTTTTCATACCAATGACTTATCTTTTAGGTATGAAAAACATGTCATTAATAACTTGTGGAAATCACTTACAGTAACAACTTGCACTTGTATATAGAGCCTTTCACAAAGATAAATGGCTCTAAGAACTTATATCTAAGTGTGAATTCAGTAGTACAAATGAGATGGCATATTGGTTGTATTGACTGTATTTTACTTTAAAAGTGCTGTCTTTTGATTCATACCTTTGGTATCGCTTTTAAGTACTGAACTGTAAAATCATCTGTTTATTTTCCTGAATATTTTTATCGAACTGAGTGTTAATGGCACACACAGAGCAGCTAATCTGGAGGAGTTACTGTTTCAAAAAAGTACATAGGTGAATTGTTGAAATGAGACCATCCCTCAAGTATCCTGAGCTAATGACCTCATGTCGACTGGCAACTCACTTCCAATCACTGCGTGCTTCATCCAAATAATGCCATGATCCTTTCAATATTTAAAAAGACCTGTCCATTTGGCACCACTCCACCATCGGCAGCCGTGCCTTCAGCACCTGCACTCCGGACCTCTGGACCATCCTGCCTCAATTCCTCTGCTTTGCTCTCTCTTTACCTGTTTTCAAATCACATCAGATGATTTTCCTCTTTGACCATGCATATGGCCACCTCCGCTTCCTCCCTGCTTCAATGTCAAACTCCGGTATTGTTCAGCGTTCTGAGATGCAAGTGGTCCATTTGGAACAACCACTACCAAAATCTTATGGCCCTCAAATGCTGTTTTATAGGAAGTACTTGTGTGCCTCCTCTTTAAGAAGAGGATCAGTCCTCTGTTTTGAGGTGGATCAGTCCAAACAGAAACTAAACCTGGCAAGTTAAGTTCCTCCAGGCATGTTTCTCTTACGTGGAAGCAATGGTTCTTCATTAGTCAGTTCAGTTTATTTTCTCCCTTCTACTATCCCACAACTTTCAAGCCAAGTATTATGGGGAAACGTATCACGATTATTCCCAAGACTGGACAGCTTCTTGGGTACCAGAAATCATGTCTCAGCCATTTTCAAAAACAAACTCTTGCATTGTAAATTCAAAAGCTTTGTCAGCATCTTTCAGCGTGTATTACCAAATGGGGTAACGGCTGCTCTGCACGTTTCTGAGAAATAGCTTCCGCTCAGATGGCTTTCTGAAATGAAAGAATGAGAGAGAGAAAGAGAGAAATAGCCAGTTTTTGATCTAAAATGTTTGAGCAGTGATGTGTTCATAATCCATCTGGGTATCATTAAAAAAACAATAGAAGTAAAGCGTTAGTTAGCATCCATAAATTGAACAGATGTCTTATTTCTATTGAGTTGTCAGATTTGTTATCGATGCAATTCCCTTTCAATGGAAGGAATTTTCTTCTTCACATCGCTTCTTAATCGCCACCTCTTACCTGGATAAGAAATCCACGATGACTGGCTCCATTGTGAGAGGAAAAATATCTGTCAAAGTCCTTGTCCCTCTTTCAGCTAAGCATATCCTACTCAGTTTCTCCAACTTGTTGCAAACCATAAAGGTATTTCTTCATAGTTCAACTGCATCTCTTCCCCCGACACAAAGTGAAGATGATCAATAACCGTTGTTATGAGACAACCATTAATTCTATAATCTTTTCTCCCTGACCTTATGTCATATCTTCAGGACATTTATGATTGCAGATTAAAACTAGTTTCATCAAGGTTTTCACCAAATTGTAGGGTTTTTTATTAACAGGGCCTTGTTAATCTGTCCATTTAAGACTTGCATCCCACCCCTCTTTTACAAGCACAAATTAAATCTATTCTTCCAGCATGGAATCTGACTTGGGTGGGATCCAAATTTATGTTATATCTATCTACTTGAACCAGCAGTGACATGTAGCATAAAGATTGTCATTTGGAAAACAGCCAGTTCTTAGCTTTCACATCAGCTAAATGCTTTAATGAGCTACAAGCTCTCTCCATTGATTTTTCACTTATACAGAAATTTAAGGATTAGGTTGTCCCAACACTAGGTCATCCCAACAGTAAATTACTCCACAAAGTAGTTAGACATTCTTCCATTTTATCGTTATGTAGCCGAATAGACTCTTTATGTCAATAATAGGGGTCTTGAAGATCAGACCAAATCCTCATTATAAATATATTTGACTTTGAACTCACAGTTAGGTCTGACATATCCTGAGATGTTAAACCAAGATCCTATTCCAACGGTTCAGGTGAATGTTAAAGATCCCATGGCACTATTTGGTAGGAGAAGGGAGTTTATCCAAGTATATTGGCTAACAGCTCCCCAAAATAAAACTTGTCACTCACTGCATGGCTTTTTGTGCAACATTGCTGTGTGCAAATTGGCTGCCACGGTTGGTTACAAATACACTGTCACTGCACTTTACGGTAATCCCCGTGAAGCATTTTGAGACATCTCAACAATGTGATAAGACATGTCAAATCCTAGGATTATTATTATTAATAACGACGTGAAGCAACTGGAGCAAACAGTAGGTTTTATGTAGCATTTGTATTATCATACAATGTAGAATCATCCTTTTGGGATTGGTGTTTGGTTTAATTATTGTAAGCTGTCATCTTATCTAGTACAACTTTAATCATCTAATTACAAGTCCTGTATGCTGCAATCCTGATCTGAAAGACAAAAAAATTATTGGGATAGATTTTGTGGCAGCACATGGGCATGAGGATTACTGCAATGAGAGATTTTCAGGAGCTTCTCATTCTTTTTCTTAAATCCATTTTGCTCCATTCTTTGGGGAACCACTATGGGAGCTTGCCATGTAAGAACCTGTGCTGTGTGTCATACCACCCATGACGCAATGTATTGTTCACAATGCAGTCTGTCATCATACTATTCTACATGCTTTAATTGCATATTCATCGGAATTATAATGGCTTGAACAGCCATTGAGCCCTCCCACCCTCCCATCCCCAGCTTGATAGCTTTGATGCAAGACAGACAGATTAAACCATGTATTGCAAATGAAAGTAGCTGGAGGCTGAGCTTCTGCTAGCACATCATGCTCCTGATGGTATTCACACAACATAATATGCTTGCTTGGGTTGTTTGCATTCTTTGGGTCTTGGAGTTTGTACATTGTTGGCACTGCCTCTGCTGCCATTAGTTTCTATTAATGACAAAGGTCTCCTGTGTGTCAATGTTGATGCACAGATGGGAGTATCTTTGAAACATTTTGCATTTATCAATCAAGCAATCCTTTCCCAGTTTCAACTGCCAGAAGAGAACATGCATTGACAAACACCTGGCATTTTGATAATGTAGCCAGTGCATTGTATTACTTCGGGATCATCGCCTCGATACTGGAACTCTTCATTCTCAACAGCATTACATTGTTTGAGATGTTGTCTCATTGATGAACATTCAGTCATTTTTGAACGCTTGTGTGGAGCTTAAGCTGATGACATTTAGCTTGCTCTTTGTGGCTTCTGTAAGGTGTCTTGTACATGCATCCAATAAACGATAGCCATTAATTGTTTTTTTTGTGTGGGGGAGCTGGGCGAGGCCCTTGCTGCTTCCAACATAGCTATATGCATAAAACATACTGAATCGTAAGAGGTCATGAGTTATGAATTTTGCTGCCAGCATTAAATTCAATAAATTGGGCGGGAAATGAGCTTAACTAGGGCAGCTTTTGGTCACCCGTGTATTTTGAATAAAAGTTTCCATCATTGGCTGAGCCTTCAGATACTACATGTCTACCCTCTGAACTTCTCCCCCTAGCCCTCCTTCTTACCCCCCCCCCCCCGTCTGTCTTGAAGTCCTGCCTTAAATCCTACCTCTTCGACCACTCACATCCTTTCCCCTCTGTAAAGCTCTCCAAGACATTATCCTAGTTGAAGGGCAATATAGAAATGCAAGTGTTTTTTTATTATGTGGAGGGCTGCAGCATATTGGTTTGTGTTCTCGCCTCACAACTGAAAGGACCCGAGTTCAATTCCCGGGTAGGGCAAAACTTAGGCAAGTTTCCTTACTCCACACACCTCTCTTTATCTAGCATTAAGTAGGAACCCGGTTATCAGTTGATTGGCAGATTGCTTTCTGCGGGTAATAATCCCATCAAAAAAAACAAAAAAATTGGTGACTGTTTGTGGGACACTGCTTTGTGCAATTGGGTGCTCATTTCGCCCACAAAGTATACAGTCAATTCACTTTACAGTATATTCTGTGAAGAGCTTTGAGACTTTGCAATGACTTGATAAAGCGCTATATCAAATGAAAGGATTATTATTAATGAATGTTCTTTTTCCCTTCCAACAGAAATGTGTCTTCTGCAGAAAGAGAGCCAAGAAGACTTCAGGTGCTTGTATTCAGTGTTCATACGGCCGCTGTCCAACATCCTTCCACGTAACCTGTGCCCATGCAGCAGGTGTTGTAATGGAACCAGACGACTGGCCATATGTAGTCCTTATCACATGTTTCAGACACAAGACAAATCCCAGTGTAGTAAGTATTTAACTTGTTTACAGCTTCTTCTTTTCCTAGGATTCACTGAGGGGAAAAGAACATTTAAAGACTAAATTACACAGTTTATCTACAGAATCTCAAGTGGGTAAAATGTGTGGTATGTATTGGGATAGGTTTGAAATGTAATGCACCATCTGGCTGTAAATTAAACCAGGCCTGAAATATTGATTGAGAAGGTCCGTGTAGAATTAGATCAACTGATTCAAAGTGATTGGATTTGTGTTATAAGGCTGAGTGAAGGTGCTTTACAGAATCTGACGAATTTAATTTCACACAAACTGTTCACTTAGAAGATGCGCCTAGACACCACCACCCCACAAATAATCCATGTTGAGATAAACTGTTTAATGAATGTAATACTTTGCTGAGGTTCAGGTTCTTGCTTTTCAACTTGGATTTATTTGGCATTTCAGTTTAGTAAGCAATTAAACTGGTCCGTTGTAGATGATGAGATTTCTGAGGTTTCCGCTAGAAGAATAATTGTGCAGTAGTTTCAAAACTGCAAAAATTGTGGGTTTTATTGTAACCTTATCAAAGCCAACGCTTCGTGATTTAACTTCCAATTATCGGTAAAATATACTGTCCACCTCCGCTCCACCAGCGGTGGCTGTGCTATCAGCCACTATGCCATGAACCTCTGTAACTCCCTACCTCAATATGCCCTCTCCTTGCCCATCTTCAAACTCCCTTTTCTCCCTGACTCTGCGTCAAACCGTGACATTGTTAAGCACTCCGGGATGCCACCCCAAGTGAAGGGTGCTATGTAAATGCAAGTGTTGTATCTAGTTGGTTGTTTTGGTGACGCCTTTGTTTTTATTTTTCTTAAAAAAAAGAAAAACAAAACTCTTTTCCAAGACTTATCGATTGGTCAGACGGTCATCTCCAAGCACAAGAATGGAAGATACTATAGCTGCAGAGTCACGGGAGTTTCGTCACAAACCTTCTATCAAGTCATATTTGACGATGGTTCATTCAGTGATGATCTGTACCCAGAAGACATCGCTGTGAGTAGTTTTAGTCTGTTCATTATGAAAATGTGAAACAGTTAATTGATGCTTTTCACAAAGTTGCTGAAATTATATACTAGCTTTGTTTAGAACTGAATAAAAGTCACCGTTTTGTAAAATTAAGATGCAGTGCAAACCATTAGAATGTGCCCTAGCTTACTATGGCTCCAATTTACTACACCCAACTTCCAGCACTGATTTAGCCAGTGGCGATGATCATGGAGGCATACTGACTGTGTTGGTATCCATGCTGGAAGCTGGGTATTACAGACTAAAAAAAAGTCTGTGTTCTGGATCAACAGGTCACTGTTGCTTTCTGTGTGTAATGCCTGGGCACTATGCAAGGAAATTGCCGTTGAAGTCATTTTGCAAAATAAGTGACATCAGCATCGCTGGTTGCTCTTATCTTGCATGTGCTATACACAAAAAGTGGTATCAGTAGCATTTCCTGCAGATAGCATTGCATGCAATGTGCAGGGAGTGAATTCAACAATGATTATTATAATTAGCATCTATTTTTTGAAAATCTTAAGACACCATGTTATTTCGGGGTTATACTGTATTGCTCTGTTGCCAAATATAGCAACTTTGATAGTGTGTGCTTCGAATAGGAAAATTAATTATAACTACACATTGTCAAAGTGACTGCTCTAAACAACAAGAAGAATTTTGCGGTCCACGTCTCCTAATTACATAGACTTAATACCTACTTATTTTGACTTCAGTATTTTTTATTTTTGTAATGCATCATTGATTCAGAATTAAATTCTGGTTCTGAGAAGCTTTCAGTAAGATTAATGCCCTAGATAAGCCATGCAAGGTGTTACAATTGAAAAACAATAGCTGAATCGTTTAGTGAATGAAACACTCTACACTTAAAACAGATTTGCTATGTGAATGGAGTGAATTCAAAAGAGCACATCGGAAGTCTGTTCTTGGATCAGGTCATCTCGGTTCAGATTCCAGTAAGAATCTTTGTGAGCAAGACACCTATATTTGACTAAAGCTCTATAATGTGGAGGCTTTTAGTTTAACATTCCAGAGGCACACTTCTAAATGCTCTGGGACACTACCCCATGCGAAGGTCGCTATATAAATGCAAGTTGTTGTTTTTGTAAACATCTTAATTACAATTTTAAGATTATGTCCAAGTTATTCAGTTTCTGCCCTTCCCCTTCAGTGAGCATCACAGAGCTGAACCAAACAATACACTGCAATTTATAGAGAATTTTTGTGCTGCGAGATTAGTGAAGCCAGTGGAAACTGAGTTTCCTGCAGCTCACCATTTCTTGTTCTCTTTTTCTTTCCTGTCATTGGTCTCAGTTCTGAGCACACAGTCGGAACTACAACAAATCCCTGCGCTACTGAAGCATATCACACAGTAATCTGCTTGTTGCCTTCCAGCAGCTTGATTCTGTGAAATCTTTTAGGCCAAGCGTAATAGCCTTAATTAAAACAGAACGGGTGGAATATGTAATGGAACTTCTTAAAGTATCAATAACTCCCTCCAGATAGATACCGTGAAAGGATGATGGAAAAAATATTCAATCTCAAAGGAGGTATCCCTCATTCTACATTTTTTTTAAAACCAACCTATTGAAACCTGCCACTACTCTGGTGTATCCAGCTGAAACTGACTTTTCTTAAATTGGATGCTTTCTGTTTGGCATCCAGGACCAGCCCTATGCCGATTCACTACTTTCCCTCTGCCTCGCCCTCTCCCTTACCACCTTCAAGATCCATCTCAAAACCTTCCTCTTTGACCGTGCTTTCAATCTCCCTGCTTCCCCCCCTTCCCCACCCCGACCCCCCAGCCCAGGTCCGTAACTCCGTCTGTCCAGCGCCTTGGGATGTCCTCCTGACGTGAAAGGCGCTTTACAACTGTAATTTTGTTGTTGTTGTTGTTTTCCTTGGGAGCTATGTGCTGACATCATCACTTTGAAGGAGTAGAGGGTGGGTTTATGCCAATTATACCAATTTACTGCTATCAAGATAAACTGGAGAGGTTAGCCTTTTCTCCACTAAAGAAGAAACGTTTAAGAAGAGATCTAATATAGGTGTTTATAATTATAAAATGGTTTGATAAGGTTATTATAGATAGGCTGTTCACATTTGTTAGGGAGTCTCTAACAAGTATAAGATAGTGACAAAGGGATGTAAAAGGAGGAAGGAATTTCTTCACGCAGAGGGCCATGAGAGAGTGTGGAACTCGCTCCCTGAAACGGTAGTTGAAGCAGGTGCAGTATAGAGTATAGATGTATTTAACAGGAAGCTAGATATGAGGGAGTAAGAAGTGGGTGAAGACTCATGTGATGTATAAACACCGGCATGGACTGCTTTGTCCGAATTGCTGATGCCTGTGCTGTACAATCTATCTACGTTACGGAAGCTAATGTCAGCTGAACTTATTTCCAATATAAAGGTAGAGTTGAAATGGGTCTCCACAGGCTGGAAAAACAAACAAATCTAGGGAATATGTCCTTTGATGTAGGCCATTTGTATTCTGGTGTCAGCCTGCCTCAATTGGTAGCGCTCTCACTTCAGAGTCGTGCGTTCAAGTCCCACATTGTGACTTTTAATTCATATGGTATAGTCTAACACACCAGTGCTGTGCTGGGGGAACTCTGCATTGCCGGAAGTGTAATCCTGCAGATGAAATGTGAAACCGAGGTCCTGTTAGCCTGTTCTCGTGGCTGTTAAAAGAATCCATGGCACTGTTCGAAAAGAGAAGGGAGTTTTTCCTAGCGTCTTGGCCAACAATCCACCAGATAAAATTGGTCACTCACTGCATGGGTGTTTGCGTATGTGTTGTGTATTACTTTAAGGCTAAATTGGCAATTGGACATTGTCCAATGAACAGGAAGCATTAAGGATTCTGGGACAGGGACTGTGCAGAGTGTTGAAGAGAGTGGAAGTGCACTGTTGAATCTAAACTGTGTTGTGGATTGACATATAATAAACAAATGACATTACCTTCTTTGAACATTTCTTATATCCAACAGCTCTTGATTCAATGTGCGTCGCTTATCACTGCTATACTGGGAGGGTCCAATAATCTGAAATGAGTTCAGGTTTTCTCAATCCAGTTCTCAGTAAAAATAATTATTCTCTAAACATGGATATGCAGTTCTAAAACTTTTTCAAAATTATATTTATTACAGCAATCATCTAGCTATAAAGCATGACCTCATTTCAGTAAAATAGAAACTTTTGGACGGCTGCGGATAGCTGAATCATGATGAGTTTCATCACTTCTCACCTTCTGGGCTAGTGAATCTTCCTTCATCCTATCTATCATACTGCAGAGTGAGGAGCCTCTCTTCAAGCAGTGGTTTTAGTAGAAAGTGTAGAGGAGATGGCAGGTTTTATTTGCCAATGTTTCCAGCTAAATGAGGATTTGTGGAGGAATTTATCTTTGATGGAAGGGAGAGGGTCGTGATGAGAATAAGACACAAGCTAAGGTCAAACATTCATTAATAGAAGTTGTCCGTCTGTATAGATGCATAAATCTTATAAAGCCCTTGAATTTCCCAGTTTATAACCAGTTTATCTTCTTTTATACAAAGCATTTTACATAACTAATTCTTGCGGACTGATAATGGAAAACAGCATAACATTTTGTTCTGTTTCAACCATGTTTTTGAAGTCCAGTTTCTCCTGCCCTCAAGTAATCGTAATATCCTGTTGTGATCTAAGGTTATGCAATATGTATTGTATAATCCGTACAGAATGCTGTTAATATTTTTTAGTATTGACAGATTAATACAACATACATTGTAACATGTCAAGTATCAAAAAGTGCTTAATCTTTGACAAAACGCGATATGTTGTAATGTTTTATTGCTGGCGTATTTACTTTGATTGCAGTCCTTTATATGGTCCCCCCCTCCCCCACCAAGTACAATTAACAGAAAGTTTACATCCATACACTATTGGCCATGTACTTGATTTTAATCCCATCATACTTGTCCTGGATTTCATAAACACGTTCACTTGCTGTTCGTGATGATTGTTTGATCTCAACACAGGCAATGCAGTAGAATAGGTAACTGTAGCAATATAATTTTCTATTAAGAACTTGTAGGCAAGCAGTCTTTAATCCAGAATCCTAGGTTATTTGACTCACTATGTTGGTTGTTTCATTAGACATTATATCTTTGGGCTTTTACCATTCTCTCAGTAATCCAGTTGAAAGTAGTTTTTAAGATAATTACATTTTTTAATGTGGTTCCCACTGCTGCACTGAATATTGAGACCCAAGAGGCAGAGGAAAACAAGCTAATAAAGTTTTTTTTTAAAAAAAGAAACAGATATGTGGAGTGAAAATAACGTAAAAGCTAAATTATTAAAAATAGAAATTGGAGAATGAGGAAGACCGAGCAGGCAAGCAGAAATAAACAATGATTTGATTTCTTGTTATTGAATAACTATTTTAATACTGATAATCCTTGCATTTGATATAATGCCTTATCACGTCGTTGAGATGTATCAAAGCGTTTCACAGAAGATACTGTAAAGTGGATTGACTGTATTTTGTGGGTGAACCGCGGCAGCCAATTGTGCACAGCAGTGTCCCACAAACAAAAATGGATTGAGTGAACAATTTTTTAAAAATTCTAACAATTACCCTGTTAGAACATGCCCTGATTTAGTGAGGGGCAGCTTATAGATGTACTGGAGACCTACACTATATGACAAGTACAGTACACCCAGCTGCTGGCATTGACTATTTGACTTCCTTAGGAAAATGACTGCTTTCTGAGTCGTCGAATTGACACTAAAATGCCTTCCTGCACACTGCGTGCTATATTGTAGGAAGCGTTGAAGGCATAATGCAGCACTGCTTGTTCATGCATGTGCAATGTGCAGGAAGTGGCATTTTCAATTTCTCCTGAGCATAGTGCGCCTGAGTACAAGAGGGGACATCAACTGTGAATTGATAACCTGGAAGTCAACTATTTTTTACGCTTTGTTTTAGTGATCAGGGGATCAGAGGT